GACGCTTCCAGACGTTCTACAGTGTTCTTGATTTCACGAGACACATCTGTTCGACGCGGCGGCAACGGTTCGCGCACTGAAACGGTCGTCACGTCGTAAGTAGCTGAGATATCAAGTCGCATATGTTTGTGACGCTTCCAGACATACTACAGCGCATTTGTTTGACGTGGCGGCAACATTTCACGGTCTCAAACGTTTGTCACGTTGTCAGCAGCTGAGATATCTTGTCACATATGTTTGTGGCGATTCCAAACGTGCTACAGCGACCATGATTACACAAGACGCATTTATTTGAAGGTGCGGCAACAGTCTATTGAACCATACGCATTTGTTTGACGTGGCGGCAACATTTCACGGTCTCAAACGTTCGTCACGTTGTCAGCAGCTGATATATCAAGTCACATATGTTTGTGGCGCTTCCAGACGTGCTACAGCGATGTTGATTACACCAGACGCATTGTTTTGACCCGGCGGCAACAGTGAAGCCACGGAAACGTTCGTCACGTTGTCAGCAGCTGTAATATCGAGTCACATATGTTTGTGGCTCTTCTATACGTGCTACAGCGATCTTGTTTACACCAGACGTATTTGCTTGACGCGGCGGCAACATTTTATGGTCTCAAACGTTCATCACGTTGTCAGCAGCTGAAATATCTTGTCATATATGTTTGAGGCGCTTCCATACGTACTACAGCGTTCTTGATTACACAAGACGCAGTTGTTTGACGTGGCAGCAACAGTTGACGATTTTAAACGTTCGTCACGTCGACAGCAGCTGAGATATCTTGTCTCATATGTTTGTGGCGCTTCCATACCTGCTACAGTGATCTTAATTACACCAGACGAATCCTTTTGAAGCGGCAGCAACAGTTCACGAGCTTAGACGTTTGTCACGTTTTCAGCAGCTGATATATCTTGTCAGATATGCTTGTGACGCTTCCAGACGTGCTACAGCGTTCTTGATTACACAAGACGCATTTTTTTGACGTGGCGGCAACAGTCCTCGAACTTAAACGTTCATCACCTAGTCAGCCGCTGAGATATCAAGTCACATATGTTTGTGGCGATTCCAGACGTGCTTCAGCGATCTTGATTACATCACACGCATTTGTTTGACGCGGCGGAAACACTTAAGGCACTGAAACGTTCGTCACGTTGTCAGCAGCTGAGATATCATGTCACATATGTTTTTATGGCGCTTCCATACGTGGTACAGCGTTCTTGATTACACAAGACACATTTGTTTGACGTGGCAGCAACAGTTCACGATTTTAAACGTTCGTCACGTCGTCAGCAGCTGAGATATCTTGTCACATATGTTTGTGGCGCTTCCATACCTGCTACAGTGATCTTGATTTCACCAGACGCATTCGTTTGACGAGGCGGCAACAGTTAAGGCACGGAAATGTTCGTCACGTTGTCAGTAGCCGAGAAATCAAGTCTCATATGTTTGTTGTCAGTGGCCGAGATATCATGTCGCATATGTTTATGGCACTTCCATACGTGCTACAGCGATATCGATTACAACATACGCATTCGTTTGATGCGGCAGCAAAATTTCGGGCTCGGAAACGTTGGTCACGTTGTTAGTAGCCGAGAAATCAAGTCACATATGTTTGTAGTCAGTAGCTGAGATATCATGTTGCATATGCTTATGGCACTTCCATACGTGCTACAGCGATCTTGATTACCCCATACGCATTTGTTTGACGCGGCGGCAACAGTTAAGGCACGTAATCGTTCGTCACGTTGTCTGTAGCAGATATATCATGTCACATATGTTTATGGCTCTTCCATACGTGCTACAGCGTTCTTTAAAACACCAGACGCATCCCTTTAATCCGGCGGCAACAGTTAAGCCACGGAAACGTTCGTCACGTTGTCAGTAGCTGAGATATAATGTCACATACGTTTGTGGTGCTTTCAGACGTGCAACAACGTTCTTGATTACAGAAGACGTATTTGTTTGACGGTGCGGCAATAGTTAAGATACTAAAACGTTCGTCACTTCGAAAGCGGCTGAGATATTATGTCACATATTTTTGTGGCGCTTCCAGACGTGCTTCGACGACCATAATTACTCCAGACGCATCCGTTTGGTGCGGTGGCAGCTGTTC